TGTTGAGGCAAAAATGGAAACAGCCTAAAATGTTCACAAATTACTAATTGCTGAAATGAGGGAAAACTATGCAGTTATGAGATTTCATATCTACAAAGATTTTATAATAATATTTTAACATTTTCCATTGAATAAAACCTGAGTACAAGACTGTATACATGACAGGTGAAACGGGGAAGAACCTCTGTCAGGGTGTAGGATCCAAAACAGTGGGGATCCTCTGGTGGTACTTGTGTGAAAATGCTAAGAAAAAGCCTGGAAGGAAAAACATAGGAATGTTACAGTGATTGCTCGGGTGATGGTGGTAGTTCTTGTGCCTACTCTTTTTTTATTTTCCTTTTTTTTAAAATTTGGTAGGGGGAGGTAATTCAGTTTATTCATTTATTCTTAGAGGAGATACTGGAGATGAACCCAAGACCTTATGCATGCTAAGCAGGTGCTTTACCACTTGAGCTATACCCTCCCCCCTATTCCAAATTTTTAATCACAATAGTGTAGAGTGATAGGAAAATAAAATAAAGAATTAAAAAGCAGCTACTTACCCTTGTCTATGGGAGAGTCCATCTATACGGCATTGAGGTTCTCCAGTACCAGTCGGGCCTCCTTCCCTAGCGCGCCGCCCCACTTCCTGTAGCTGGGTGGACTCACACGCTTTCTCCTGCCACCATGCCTTTGCGTGTGCTGTCCTCTCAGCCTGCAGTGCCCACCCTCCTTGGTCTATCTGGTGAACCCCAATCATTCTTTAAACCAGAGTTTATGTGATGTCTCCTTTCTAACAGGTATAGTTGATTTTTTTTCTTATCTGTAATATCTAATTACTCTGCAATGATACATGTTACTTGCATAAACGTTAAAGGCTTTTATAAAGGAATGGAAGACATCACAAAAAAAAGCAATAAATTTGACTATATACACAGTAAACATTTCTAACAGGTATAACTTTTGAATATTGTCCTTAACACTATCACTGAATGTTGTTTCCTACAGCAGTCTGTGAGCCGCTTGAGGGGAGGATTTATGTCCCAATATTCCAGGACCTAGCCCAGTGCCTGTGGGAGTAAACCTGGCAGCTATCTGTGAAAGCCTGAAGAATCTGGGGAGACCCTGGTCCCAACCAAGATGGTCCTGAAATAGAACCAGAACATGACCCCGATTTACCCAAGGGGGATCCAAAGCAGTTATACTGTACTCTTTTTGAAGAATGATGATAACTAGTATTTCTGGCTTCTAAAACACCTGGAACATAGTGTTTTGATACCAACTGGTGGACTGCAATTCAAATTGGACAGTAACAACCCAGAATTAGTACAGACCCCACTAGTTAAAGGGCATGATCCAGAATAAGACTGCCCTCATTTCAGAGGACTGCGAACAAATTCAGATCCCTCTTAGGTTCCGCCCCTCTTTCAGGGGCCTCATTTATTTACATCAAGTTTAACGCTGTTAGCAGTTCACAGTCAGACAACAGAGTGGAAGTATTAAATTAGAAAAACAAAACACCTGAAACAATATTACAGTAACAATTAAGAACAAATACCTGACAACCCTGGTAGTGTGACCCACGACTGATGTGTTTTCAATTAAATCCCGTATTGTCTCACTGTGTCCCCTTAGTAATACATACAGGGCCAGGCCCCCCAGATCTCCCCCTCTATGCACCCACCACACATACACCTGCAGAGCATGACCTTTGGTATAAACATTAAACAAGTTTTAAAGAATCTGAATCATATGTTTTAAGAACAAAGTTCTATCAACCACCATGAAATATTCAAACTTATTTTTGCCAAGCGAGCATAAAACTAGGGTTTCTCCAGGGATAGTCATTAGAGAATCAGACTGCAAAGAAGGAAAAGTGTGGGGTCTACCCAGGAGGAGGGGTTCTCAGTCAGCCTGTGCATGGCAAACACATCTCTCAGTTTTGATCGTTCTCTACAACTCACAAAAGTCAGGAAAGTTCTATACTTATGATCAAAATTTTATTATAAAGGATATAAATCAGAACCAGCCAAATGAAGAGACATATAGGGCAAGATCTGGGAAGGTCTCAAAAGCATAGCTTCAGTGTCCTCTCTCCATGGATCCAGGTGTGTTACCCTCGTAGCATGTCAATGTGGTCACCAACCAGGAAGCTCCATTTAGTTGTCACTGGGGTTTCATCAAGCAGTCATGATGAATTAAATCACTGACTATCCGATTGAACCTAATCTCCAGCGTCTCTCTGCTCCCTGGAGGTCAGGCTGGCTCAAAGTTCCAGCTCTCTAATCGCATGGCTGATCTTTCTGGTAACTAGCTCCCATCCCGAAGCAATCACGGGGTCCTCCAAGACTTACCTCATTATCATAAACTCAGGTGTGATTCAGGAAGCTCATGAATAATTAAGATGCTTCAATCACTTGGGAAATTCCAAGGGTTAGAAGGTCCATGCCAGGAACCTGGCACAAATTCTTTATTATACAACACACAGTAGATGCTCTACAAATATTTGCTAAGCAGAAAGATACACTCAAAATGCCAGAAATTGGCACGGAAGAGGAAGGCAGTTAGGCTCTAAGATTCTTCCACCTGAGATGTGAAAGATGGACATATTAGGCTATGAGAAACCAATACCTTTAAACATTCCAACCATATGACGAATTCCCCCGGGGCTCAGGTTTAAATTACCAAGCACCCTGATGATAATTTGGCTTCCCAGGTGACTTGTTTATAGAAAGAAAATACTAGCCAGGCTGACCTGAGCATGCAGGTCTGCCTGAGTCGATGTCTCACTGTAAATTAATACAGTAGCATTTTGGCTTACATAGTTCAGTCTCTGAGCTCTTAATGCTTTCCACCATGAATATGGCTCTGAGCATGCAAGCCATATGCTGCCCAAGACCCAGCCCTGGACCCCGGCAAGTTCTTCCAGGCTGGTGCCACCCTGGAACCCTCTAGGAGCCCGTGGGAGATGTCCACTCTGCTCTCTGCCTCTACATTTCAGGGTGTGGGCTTCAGGGCATTCACAACATTCCTGCAACAGAAGAGTTTCGGGAACACCCCAAACTGGATCTGGGTGACTTGAATATAATCTCAGGCAGCTATGTCTGAGATGTGGTTGTAACTGAGAAAGCTTAAGCCTAATTAATTTTATTCCACTTGACTTAAAGGATGAATATGTGGAAGAAGGGAATGTAAGGACATCTATAAACTCTAAACTCAGAAGAATGAATTTCAGTGTTTTTCAGTCTTGGTCAGCATCTGGAGACACTGACTCTGGTGTACAAAAGCCTTGTAGTGACTAGAGGGGTATACTCCAGGAAATGGAGAATATGCTCCTCTAAAACTTGAATGAGGGCAGATTAGCCCACCTTCAATTACAATTCTATTTAATGCTCAATAGGCAAACTTCTGATTAATAATTAGACCTCTCAATCACCTTTGCAAGATCCTCTCTATTGCAAATTAATAAGCGTCATTCTGGTTTATACATCTGCTTTTTATGAGTTTGGTTAACATGAGTTGGTCCCATAAATCTGATCCCTTGACAAAATTGAGTTTCAAGCTGAGGAAAGTTGAGGACCAGACTACAGACATAGGGAACTCCCTCCAACATATTGTTAGCCTGTGACTAGACAGCCAGCTCCTCTCTAGAACTGATTTATCTCACTGCAGCACTCAAACCACAAACACACCTAATTCAGGAACCTGTTCTACAGTGTCTTTGAATCATGTACTCTTTGGATACCCCCAATGGCCAGGACTTCATTGTCACAATCCTTCAAAGCAGCCTGCTCTCTTGGAGATCTTAGTTAGAATATTCTCTCTTAATCTGAAATTAAACCTATCACTTGAAATCTTCTACCTACTCATTATTATCCAAACTATAACATGTTTTTGTGTGCCTATCCCCAGTTCCTCCAAAAGATCTTGACCATGATGGAGTCCAGCCCTTTCACCACCCTATTTTTTCCCTTCTAGCTGTCCAGTGTCTTTCTTGAAAACATGATCCCCCTGCCCCTCCAGCAAAAGTTTGTTATTTCTTTTAGCAGCTGCATCTCACTGTTGGCTCATGTGCTTCAGAAAAAAAAATGCCTTCATTTCAATGCATTTCCCCTTCTTTTTGGATTTGAAGCTGTTGAAATGAGATACAGGTCAGTAAGGTTGTGGGTTTACTATGGTGAGCTTACTTATCCCTTTGGTGAATGCTGTTTCTGTTCAATCTGAGGGAAAGGGTCCTTAGCTTAGGACCCAATATACAGAGCCATTTCAAGAATTCAGACCTAAGTAGGGAATGAGTTTTTCTTAGAAAGAAAGAAAAAAAATCCACCTTTCTTGAGGAGATGAGCCATCACTAGAGAGCTGGGAAGGATTTTTACTTCTCGGTCCTCTTGCATCTGGTGGGTAAAGGGCACTCTTATGGGCTTGATGAATCTAGCCAACTAGATACCAATTTCAATTGGGGGGGAGGAGGAGGGAGAAGAAAAACTCTTTTATTGAGGCTTTTTCCCCCTTTCTGATTCTAGAATATAAATATTGTATATATAGTAAAATAGTGTAACCAAACCTAGGATGTAGTGACTTGGTTCCTCTCGGAATCCCTGACACATTCCGGGACGTATTTTCTGTCATCTGGAATCGCCTCCCTTCCACAAGCCCAAACTGTCTTAAGCACTAATTTGCCTATTTGTTGTTGATTTAATCTAGAAAAACTCCCTATCACTCTTTCTCTCCCACCCTGTCCCTCAGCCCCTCAGCACCCTTCTCTTCACTGGCCACCTCACCCTCGCCTCCTCCCCACTCCTGCCGGCAAACCCACACGGGTTTATGGTGTAGGATTTGATGCTCTTATTGCTCACAGATCACAGGACAGACGTTCCCAGGGACAACTTTGAGAGGCCAAGTGTTCGTCCCCCTTAGGAGGTGGGAGAAATCCCTGCAGCTCGGTTTTGTTCCAATGGTCTGTTCAGTGAGTGATTCCCGTTTCCCCAAAGGCTGCCCCTCATTAGCATGAACGGGGGTGGGGGTGTGGAGAAGGGGTGGGGGGAGAGAAAGAGCAAAAGCCCAGGCTCAGTTTTAGAGCCTGGGAACCGTGTCTACAAACATGACAGCTAGAGCTTTCTGGCTCCTCTGTTTGATCGTTGGATCATCTCCCGAAGCCCCAGTGGCGGAGAGAAAAGGTAAGATCGATGAAACGCTGAGCCCAGGGAGAGGGGCTGGGATCCGGGGGTGGTGGTGGTGGGGAGAGGGCGCGATGAAGGGCGGGACGAGAAAGGGGTCAGGGCTTGCCAGAGAGAAGACTCCAGGTCCGTGTTCGTGTTCCAAAGGAGCAAAATGTGTCCCCAAGATTGTGTGTGTCTTGGCAGCCTTTTCGGAATGAAGCCAGTTCAGCTACTGAAATGATCTCGAGCGAGCCGGGCAGGCTAGAGAAAACTTTGCATGTTAAGTAGTTGCTCCATCACGGAGGAGGGAAAGTGTCAAAAGGGGTCGTGGCGCGCCTTTCGGGAGCCGTGCCGGCCGGGCTCTCAGGACGCGGCGGGCGGCAGG